TTAAAAAATAAAAAATTTATATTTGCTATAATATATATACAATAATTACTGTGTACATATACAGGAGCAATCAAAGCATTATAATTTATTATCCTGGAATATACATAGCAAAAAATATTTTAAGAAAAATTATATGATCTGAAGAAGGATAAATAATAGTGAACAAATAGTAGCGAACAAGAGTGGATGAGCCTGGAACCATTTATTTAAAAAATCATATAAATTCCACTTAAAAAAATAGCAGTGATCTCCATGTGACCTTCAAGATTGATTTTTTTCAAAAATTATTTGTTCCCTTCAGATCATACAATTTTTGTTTGAAACATTTTTTGCTATGGCGTATACTTTGAGGGCTGCGTTCCAAAATTTACTCGAGTAACCAAAACTCTATAGTTTACGTCACGTTAACTATAGAGTTTTGATTATCCAAATAAATTTTGGAACGCAGCCCAGAGATAATAGTTTATAATATTTTAATTGCTCAATCTTGTATAAAAACAGTTGATAAACTTTTTACTTTACCGTCTAAATGACAATATAAGTTGATTTCCATTTTTATTATGTATTGACACAATGATAAAGCCTAATATAACACAAATGGCAACAATGACAAGTAATAGCCACTACAACATAATTATATTGTATGAATTTTATATTATGCATATTAATTGTTAATGTATATTTTTTATATATACCATGGTACTCCCATCTAATATTTTAGTTTTGCTCGTATTGATAATAGTGAAACCTTGAGTTCCTAAGCAACCTCGATAATCCATTGCAGCCACCAATATTTTGTATCCATTCTTTATTTTTATATACTCATTATTGACTCGCATATCCCAATTAAAAGTATTTGTTGTAGAATTCACGTTATTTAGCTTTGTGATATTATACACAGAATGTCCCGCTTTTGATATTAATAATGGTATGCCAACACTGAAATCATCATAATTTATAAAGCATTACATCACAATTTAAACAAAATAATAGGAAAATCAAATTCATAGAGTGAAATAAAATATCTCACCTAATTACATAAGAATGAATGTGAGAACTGTTTGACGTAATATTCCAATTAATAACAACACTTTCTTTTATTCGGATTACTTCTACTTTTGGAATAGGCAAGATAGATTTTGCCTCCTTGCAACTGCATTTATGTCCTATACATTCTGGAACTCTATAGATGACCTATATAATAAAAAACACTTTCAAAACTTGATATTTTAAGTATAATGTCTTCTCACAATGTTAATTCATAATTTTACCTCTGATGATTTTCCTGTGGGTTTGGCTCTCGGATTGGCATATACAAATATCTTGTATGTACAATTTAAATGTATTTGTATCTCCGGCATACCATTCAATAATTTATTTTGTGGCACTAGCATATTAAAAGGACTTTTATTTCGTGCTCTGTAGAGCGCAGAACCTTCTGTACATTCTGTTTTATTTATATCGGTTTCTTTTAACATACTTGTAATCATAATGCTGTAATATTGAAATTTTTTATTATTTATATGATAATTTAGATAAATATTATTGAAAAGTATTAATTAGTGCACCTGTATGATTCAGGTTGTTTTCCTTCATTTGGTGGTATCCAAGATATATTCAATTTTAATGATTTTAGATCATTGTCGCTTTTGAAATAATTTTTATCTTCTAAAACGTACACTGTAATATTTTCCACAACGCCAGCAAAATTTGCTACATTTTTTGCGTTTGTTGCACATATTGTATTAGAATATAAAAGCCACACAATAACTATATCATATATTAAAATCCATTTGCACTGTATAAACATCTCATTTTATAATATGACCATTATATAAATAATTAAAATATTTTACATTTTTTATTACTACTTTATATTTTTGTTGTAATTCATTGAGCAACAAGATGTCTGTTTCATTCATTACTGCTTTATTTCAGTTTCAAAGTTCAACTAGCAGATTTATCTTTAGCAAATCATATCTAAGAGATAAGTCTTATCTGATACTCAAGTGTAAAAATCTTATGATTTCCTGTAATAATATGATAAACACAAACTTTTCAGTTAGAAATGTTATATATTATTTAATGAGATAGATAATTGAAAAATCATAAAAATTTTTGGGAATATTAATTACTCTCTAATTTCATAAATAATCACAATTAATAAAAGTTAAAGTGCCACATTTATTCTTATTGATAATAAAAATTAATACACAATATATTTATTATAAATTATACATCTTAAATTTATAATAATTTGATCTGAATTATTCTAAACACTTTCTAATGTATTTAATATTCCAGAAGTTAAATGGCCTCGGCTGCAATGTCACCAACTGACGATGACGAGCTTACTCTTCCTCGTGCATCAATTAATAAAATAATCAAGGAAATCTTGCCTCATGTGCGAGTGGCAAACGAATCCAGAGAGCTCATCTTGAACTGCTGTACAGAATTCATTCACTTACTGTCTTCCGAAGCAAATGAAATTTGCAATCAACAACAAAAGAAAACTATAAATGCGGAACATGTTCTACAAGCACTTGATAAATTAGGTTTTGGTGATTACAATGCAGAAGCAGAAGCTGTATTACGTGATTGCAAAGCTGTAGCAGCTAAAAGAAGACGTCAAAGTACTAGATT